CCCGGGAAAATCCTTAAAAATTTGGTGTTTTTCCCGGGTAAACCCCAGAAATTTCAGATCAAAGGCGCCGCCGATCTAGAGATTTTCCCACTGTATCGAAAAAGTTCCCAGGCTCAGGTGCCCCCGTTACCGTAAAACCTTGAGAACAATTTTGCCTACACAATTTTTTCTCGAGTGGTATTCGTCATGACTATTTCACGTAAGATTTTGAAATAAATAGAATGCAAAATTATGAATAAAAACTTCAAATTAAAAATACGAGTTTGACAATGTCAAAAGATGGTCGCTGAAATACCATGTTGTTGGTATTGTCCAGGTATCGTTATTGTCAGGTGAATACCGAATTTATTGCTGGTGTAATACACTCTAGTGAAATAGTCATTGTTAACAACTGGTTTATTTCTATGTACTTTAGCTTTGACGGATCCAAAGTTCTTGAAGTTTTCTAAAATTCTTTTAACAGTTTTTTCACTTGGTTTCTGTTTCTGCGGATATCGGTTCGCAAATGTATCACATGTTCTTGAAATAACTTTATTACATTCTCCATAAATAATCAATAAATTTAAATAATCTTCATTTGTATAATTTAATCTTCCCGGCATGATTATTATCGAAAATTATTTCAATTTTTGTGACAAGGACATGCACCTTCTGCTTGACATTCTGTCAATGCGCAAGGGTGCGTTCAGTTATTATTTTTAGAGCAAAATCGCCATATAATAGTTATTTATTTACGACTAATGTATAATGTGCGTATTATATTTGTGATTTTGGCAGTATAATGACATATGTTATTCCTCCAGGGATTAATGACGAGTAGCGGGATTAATGGTCATTATTCCACAAAAGTGTCAGTGTCAAACGTGTAGTGCTTGTGGATTTGTATTGAAAATTATGAGACGGATGAAATTTGTTCATTGAAAATCTCAAATAAATTAATTTGTTGTAAATAAAGTAGAATATACTACTCGCAATAATGGCTATTATTCCCTCGGAATGTTACTCCCTCGCCGCTAACGCGGCTCAGTTCGTAATAATCCTCGGGAATAATAGCTATCATTATTGACTCGTGGTATAATCTACTATTATGCACCTAGGTCAAAAAGTACAGCTTTAACGCCCGCAGCGTGTGTAACAGCCTGAGGCGTTAGCCGAGGGCTGTTTACACGCTGAGGGCGTTAAAGCTCTTTTTGACTGAGGTGCATACAAGATTTTATGCACGATGAGCCTGTTTTCATTTTGATATTTAAAAAATTATATATTTTCACTTTTGTAATGACATCAATCAAAAAATATTTCAAAATATAAATTTTCATCTTTACCGCAATACGTCCTAAGTTTTTGTCAAATTTAGATCAAGGAAGCAGTTGTTGACAAAAGTATCACGTAACTATTATAGCAACCCAGAACAATACAAACAAATAATTATGTGCTGTGTAGTGTACGTGCACAGCATATACAAAAACATTCAGCAGGCTAACTCTCACGCGCATCTTTTATGCGCACGCCGCCATTAGGGGATACCATCCTGTCAGAAAATGGCAGGGACGCCGAAATTTTATTTTATTTTTTTATTTCTGACGGAGGTCATAGGCGTGCGGTGTAGAGCGGAATTTTAGTTAGGTTTTTCGAAGTGATTTTAGTATATTCGCGTTGTTATTTATAGTGTTATCTGTTATCATTGTTGTATGTTTAATAATAATAATAATACATTAGTGATTATGAATATTATTATATGTAACTAAGTAAGTAATGATAAATTAGTTTATTTAAAGCCAATACGACAGGAAAGAAAAAACCTAAATTATCGTTAATCAGGCCCTGTTTCGTATCCCAAAATGGCCGCTAGTGACATTTCGACGAGGAATTCCTTTATTACACGGGCTGTCACTCAAGTTAGCCTGCTGATTGTTTTTGTATATGCTGTGGTACGTGTATGGTATTCTTATGATGGTAGTGAGTCTGAAAATGGAGCAAAATAGCATGCCCAAGTTTATTCTTGAGGCAGTTGAAGAGGCCAAGAAACATGTATACCTTCAAACTCCAAAAGACTCTATGAAAAAACATATAAGGACTTTATTTTCCTGATGTGCCCAACATAGTGTAAATGAGCAGCAGTACTTTGTAGAAGAAACTCTCCTGGCCTGGCATATACATTAATATGAAAAATGCAACAAAAAAAATAAGCCATCCACCCTATGCAGCTTTTACTCAATGTTGAAAGCAACAGTTCTTTTGTGTATTTTTGTGGAAGGGCCGGTTTTAAAAGTTAAAAACTGTAAAAATTGTATTTTCAATTTCAAAGTAGATTGAATTTTATCATTATTGCTTATTTCATTATTCTTATTAATTGAAATAAAGCTTGTTTTGTTGAAAAAAGTTGGTATTTTTTGGAATAAGCATAGAAATACAAAAAGATTTTAAAAAAAATGACGTATTTTTCTTTATTTTTGAAACTTTCAGGCTCGCGGGCATAAAAGGCGCCCTAGGGCGTAAAAGTACTACTTCACGCTTTAAAATGCGGGCGTGATAATTAGGCAATTCAAACCACGTGACATTCAAGATGGCGTGGCGGCCACACATGGGCCAAAAAACACAAAAAAATATCTAGTTTCTGCCGGAATTAATAGTTTAGGTACCTAGTCAACAAATATTTTATTAAATAATGAAAACCAAAGTTGTAAGCAAAACTGTATGCAAAATAATTTAAAATACGCATAAAAACATATTCAAAACAAACTTGCTTGGCCGCCACGCTACATTGAATTTTCCTTTTTGACAGATGTATTGAATTGCCTAATATTTCGAAAACTAAACATTTTCGGAATAGATAACCTTACACAAACTTACCTTGTTTTTTAATGCCTAACAAGATAAAATTATAAAATTTTGGGGTTTCCATTTGAACAAATTGATTTTTGGAAGTTTTCTCAACTTTATTTTTAATCTTATTTTTTAAGCACCCTGTATTAAAAGTTATCAAAACATAATGAAAATCTAATAAAATAGGTCCTTTTCAACAAGATATCAAGGTTCAATCAAAGAATAAAGGCTTCCTTATAGGAAAAATTGACAATTATTTTAGGGTCTGCTAACGTAATTTTTTACATAAAAACTTAAATATGTCAAAAACGGTTAGACTTAGGTATAGGATATCGTACATGAAATGTATTTAGAATTTTCCTTAGAATCCAAAAATACATTAATATACGGGGTGTTCTATTTAAAATAACCGAGTTGGTATCAACTTCCGGTATGACCGGAAATGCCGCTATCTTGAAAATATTTCACCTGGATGTCCCCCATCGACATTGCTATGTTGCCAAATTTTCAAATTTTTACCTTTCACAGTTTTCCCATAAGCAATCGATGTCATTCCCGGAGGACCACCCTGTATAAAATCACTCGATTCATGCGTTCTACTCCATTTTCTTGTGGTGTGTAGGGTACATGTAGTATGTATCGCGTTTCATAGCGTTTGTATTCACTGTCTGATTCCCAAGTTCCAGCCTCTTCTGTCGTTCCATTTACCTTGTTTAAGGTTTCTTTCGCATATTGCTTTTTCTATTCTTGCACCTCATGATGTTTTGGCTCTTCCTTTTTCTTGCAGTTGCCACTCCATTGTCAATCTTAGGAGTCTTTTTTCATCCATCCGTTGTACATCGTTGACAAGGTTGGTTGTTTTATTTCTGTTCTGTACTTGTTCCTTCAATTCCAATTCTTTCCTCAATAACATCATTTATGATTCTATCTCTTCTAGATATTCTGAGAGACCTTCGTATTGCATCCATTTCGACCGTCTGCATTTATTTATTTTTTGTATTTTGCTGTTATTCTCCATGCTTCATGTCCCGTACATAAAGGTAAGTACCTACTCTTTTTTATAGAGTCGTATAAGTATACCTAAATTGAGTTTTTTTCTTTATTCCTTTGCTTCAACAAAATCATATTTAGACATGATACCTATAGCCTTTTTTGCTCGAGCGTTGTTGGTAAAGGTTACGCCTAAATATTTGCATGTGGGAATTTCTCCTTGTTCTAGTAGATTCCCAGTCTACTCACCCACACAGTGGTACTTGGTTTCTTCGATCTATACTTTCAAACCACATTTGTTGTATTTTTCCAACAGCTTCCAAACCATATTCCGCTTTATCGCTTGCTAGGACAATGTATAACTTGATTATTAGCAAACTGGTGCAGTGTACCTATAAAGACATATATTATTTCATCGTTGAGTTATGAATACCCATTCCCCTGATCTTTTTTTTCCATATTTTTAGAGCTCCTCCTACAAAGATTTTGAAAAATGTTGTAGATATGCAGCATCCCTGTTTTAGACTATGTGTAGAGGTTACTGTTATTGACCTAACTGATACTGCCTTAGTACCATATAGGGTAATGTTAGGTACTTAGTTAGAATTTTATGCTATTTTCATTTAGAAACTTCTTCAAAATATTCTTTGAATAACTCCTTACCATTGTCACTTCGGACTCTTGTCTCTTCAAGTTACATTTATTTCCTTGAAAATTTCTGTAACTTTCTTCGTCACTTGACTCAGAAGATAGACAAAAACTTTTCACATAAAGTCACTTATATTAGACAAAAAATATACCGACTTCATCACCAAAAATCTACAGATCCATTATTTTTATAATGAGCTTCAACTTTTCTTGAGTGGAAACTGGACACCTCTGTTCGTTAAATTTTTTCACGGTTAACGGCTGTGTTTTCCATAATTATACTACTCAGAAGGATCCTCATGATTTTTTTTAGAAAAATCCCATCCTATAGCCATTTTGTCACAAAAAAGCTTCATATCAATAGACCACCAATTTCAGTTGTTGATCCTCGTGATGATACCTGAATTGATCAGAAAGATGGCATGAGTCCTTGTTGTGACCATAATGAAGTCACAGCGAAAAAATACCAGCGAAAGTATTTGCTAAATAAAATAATATAAATAAAACAAAAAAGGATGTGAATAACTTATTTATTCATAACAGGTAAATAAATAAAAAAATAGCGCGAGTTAAAACCCCGCAAATTACAATAAGTATCCAAAACGAATACAAATTAAAAAAAAAACTACTCTAATATTATTATTATTAAAATTAAATACGCTTCTAACATAGATAACTAATTCTTTGTTGGTACTTTATTAGCGAAATTCTGAAGATTGATAATCAAATCACCCTTTCCCTTATTCTCTTCCGCAGTTTCCGTAACATCAAATAATTCGTTGGCCGCCAAGGCTACTTCAACGTTATCCAGAACACTGGCATGATTACCCTCAAATACTCGGACCTCAACGGGATTTTCGCAAAATTTCGATAAGCCATAATCCTCATCCGGAATTTCGATACTCGTCAATACCGGTTTGAAAAGAATTACCTTGGATTTCAGTTTAAAATCTGGCGACCAATCAACAACGGCTTTGATACGTTTGTAAATGCTTATGGCGCAGTCGCGTTGGTGTTCTGGGGAGTGAGGAGTGCTATTACCCACAATTTGTTGGGCCAATTTGATACGTTCTTCGAATGAGTTGAGTTTGAGAAGAGATTCCTATAAGGAAATAGTGCACTGAGAATTTGGTTCGACATACTTTTTGATGAGTAATAATTGGTATAATACTTACCACATGTTTGGAAATTATTTCATAAGATATTTGCAAAGACATCAGATGACAAATCAAGCTGACTTGGAATTTATCATCAGATTCAACTTCCAGTACTCTCGTTAAAGCTTGCAAGTAATCCGGCGATGAGTCTATACAAATGACAGTACCGAGGTAGCCTTTTTGTTCCAGCAATGCTACAGCTTCCAATGCAACAGTACCACCAAAAGAATAGCAAATAATGTTAAAAGGCTTAGATCTTGACAGGCGCTCTTCTATAAACTAATAAATAATTTCAATTTAAATGCATCCATTTTAATTTAAATCAAAAATATTACCGGTAAACATTCCTTGGCCATGTCTTTGATGCTGTCTCTTTGAGAGCTGTTCGGATATTGAAGACCAACCAAATCGGCTACGAGATTTTTATATAACGGTTCCAAGACTGTTATGGTGCCTTCGATACCAGGGAAAATTACTACGGTGGGTGCCGATTCCGATGCTTTGCCGTGAATTGAAACCACTGGCATATTGGCTGTCTTTTCATCACCCAATAGACGTAGGATCATGTCCATGCCCATTAGAGGACGACCTTTTTTGACACCTAAATGAAAAGTCAGTAAATATATGTTTTCTTGAAGAATAAAAAAGAAACTTGTTTTCTGTTTAAGTTACTCTTAGTTCTGTGTACCATGTAAGCGAAACAGATCCAGAGAAATTTAAAGTTAGCAAAAAGAAAGAAATCAGAATATTTCAGAGTTCCATCAGAAGATACACCAAATATTCGTGTTTTTATTGGTTTGCTCTGGATTACCAAAGACACCTATAAATCAAGTTGCCTACCTGCTTGTGCCTCAGCAACCTTCTCACTTTGGATCTCAATGAGTCTGGCAAAGGTCATGCTTTTTATATCTTGAGCCGTCAAGAAAACTTCGTATTCTCTTTCTAGAGTTTGTTTAATTTCCACTGCGTTCATCGAGTCCATTCCCGCTTCCGCTAAGGTGGCTTGTAGGGAGATGGCTTTGAGATCTTGAATGCCTAGAATGGAAAAATATTTCGTAGAAGATACTAGATATCAGTCATAAGGCCACTGGAGAATATATTTATCGCTTCGATTGGAATCAATTCCACTCAAAAGCACTAAATATTTAAATACAGGATGATGCCGACGAAACAAGTGACATAGTAGAAATTTGAAAAGTACAACAAAATGAAAGAAAGAGGAAATAAATAAATAACAAAAATCCTTACCTAAAATATTAGCAACAGCATCTACGATATTATCTGCACCGGCAGCTCCAGCCCTTTTTTCGGCCACCACAATACTCGACACAATAGCAGCTTCCTGTTGCCTCAAGAAAATATCCATAACTTGCAAGCAATTCGAGATTCTTTGCTGCAAAGTACCCCCAATTTCCATTTCGATAGCTTCGTTTTGCATTTCAGCTACTAAACCAACATCCCCAACGGCGCCCCATTCGATTGCCAAAGCTGGCAAACCTTCGGTCTGTCTTTTTTCGATTATTCTTTCCATAACTGAATTGGCCATGCCATAGTTTGATTGTCCAGCGTTGCCTCTTCCACAGGATACTGATGAAAATATTACGAAGTCTCTTAATTCTGGACAGTGTTTTCTGGAAACTTTGTCCAAGTGTTCGGTGGCGTAGGCCTTAGGGCCGAAAGATATTTTAAAATCATCTTCTGTTTGGTTTTGTAGGATGGAGTCTCGAAGAACTACGGCCAAGTTAAAGATGGCGTGAACAGGACCTAACTGGTTTGCTGTTTTCACTAGATTCGAACAGCCTTCGTATGTGGTTATATCTTCGGTGGAAATTTCGATTTTGCATCCGTAAGTACGCCAAATGCTGTTTTGAAAAGAAAAAAATCGATCTTATTTAGCTTTTGTGTGCTTTAAAAAAAGAACATGTAAGTATACATAATCTTGATGGCTGATGCCCAAACTTCTTGACAACACTATTAACTGTTACTAGCTCTGTTCCAAACATTGAGGTAACCGACATGAGAACCGTTCCAGAACCAGTAATTTCCAGCTGCCCACCTATTTTCCAATAAGTTGAACGTTTATCCTAATTGACAAATGAATTGATCGACATGTCGGTTGGAACAGAGCTATTATAAATTCAGATTTGACTTACTTTATTCTGTAGGCCTGATATCCGGTTTTAATGCCATTTCTAGAGGTTAGAATTAGTTTTCTGCATCCTCTCAAGGTGAGCCAATCAGCTAGTTCCAACCCAAATCCTCCAAGACCTCCACAGATTATGTACGTTTTTTCACTATCGCAGAAATATCTGAAAGTAAGTTAATATTTTTAATAAATGATATTGCAATTTGGTAGGTGTTACAGTTTTGACGACAAAACTGTACATCCATCAGAGTCCAAGTTGTTCCAAAGTATGTTATTTACCTTGGAAGTCCCATAAATTTCACTACAGATGGTGTAACAATATTTTCTTTCTCCTCTTTTCGTATTTGAATCAATACTTTGCCGGTGTGTTTGCCTGTACCCATGAACCTAAAGGCTTCTTCCGCTTGGTTCATTTTGAAGGTGGTTCTATTGAGAGGTCTTATCGCACCGCATCTGATGGCCTCATTTAGATGGTCTACGAGACTAGCTTTGATCGCTGGAGTTTCAGCGAAAAGCGAATCTAACATAACACCTAGAGAAAAAGGATCCTGTTCTTGAAAATTATCGTTATAAGTTGTGATTTACCTACGTAGTCAACTCGTGATTAATAAGTATGAAATGGTCTGTAGAAGGTACTGAAATTGTGATTATTTAAATTTCAAACCTTCTAACAGTTTCTGTTTTAATCGTTCAGGTACTTTGAGTAGATATATCTTTTTCTGACAAATTCTTACCATGAAAACTAGCATCTTTGCTTATCAACAACAAATTCAACGTGTTATCGTTGGCCAAATCGTATTTTCCGATTTCCACAAATCTGCCGCCTCTTGCTAGGCAACGTACCGAAGCAAATAGTTTTTCTTCGGCCAGTGAATTGAGAACTACGTCTACACCTCTGCCGTTGGTAACGTTGAAAATATGTTTTTCAAAGTTAATGTCTCTGGAGCTGGAGATGTTTTTATCTGTAACAAAATGTCTATTTTTACAAAAATGGCTTGAATAAAGTTTGATACATTTATGAAATACTACGGGTCTGTTCTCACAGAACTCACAAACCTATCAGCGAATTTCATTGGTTGAAGATAATTAGAAAACACCAATCAAAAGCGATCTGACTGGTTTGTGATTTCTGTGAGAACAGACCTTACAAGGGTAGAAAATTATTCTGAGTAATTATATTAAATTCGATATAAATTTGTTGAGTTGATTTGATAGTCCTTTCTCTGAAAGTATTACATACGCCGAAATAAATTTTCAAGTGATGGTGTAGTGATCCAGGAAAATGAAGCATTGATTTGCAGGCACTTAAAATGCAAAATTGAAATAATAGTAATTGAAGAATTGCCAGTCTTATGACATTACGAGGTTCCTGAACCTGAAAATCAATTCATGAATTAGGCAACGGAAAAATATTAAAAGTAAGGCTAGAGTAATTAAAGTGAGGGGGGCAAGTGGCAGATTTATATTTAAAAAAAATGGCCGACACGAGTTCGGCATCCTTTGATTCCAGTGACATCACATTTTCACGATATCTGTTGACCCCGATAATCAAGGAGATTGCGATATCTTCGGTTGGACAAATGAATATATTTCTTAGGAATAGCGGGAGAGGATTTAAGGTCAACATATCGCAATGACGCAAATTTATGGTGGGACCAAACACTAATTAAACAATCAGGTAGAGAAAGCAAAAAACATTCGATGTGGCTATTTTGGGTGGCATAATATTACTACATGCGCTGTGGTCAGTGTAACATAACGCAATAACACGGTCACCTGCAGGTGCCCAGAAGGATTATGACGGGTGTCATACAACATGACAAAAATATGTAATTACGTTACCCTTTTAAGAAATAAAGATTTATTCTATTTCAATTAGACCAATTAGACGTGTAAAGTGAATATCTATTAAATAAAACATGGTGTCAGAATTGTGAAAAAGGTGGTAAGAAAATTTAAGTTCTGGAAGAAAGTTTGAGCTAGAATAAAAGCTTGTGTAGAAAAAGGTTGGAAAAGAAATTACACCACCCAAAATGGCAGCAATTTTAAAATCACCAAAAAGCATGGCTTTTGATCAGCATGTAGCTCAAAGTTTCGAGAAATTTTTGAGTGCTTTTAAAATTTATATGAGAGCAGCTGGATTTGATAAAAAAGATGATGAAATAAGAATCGCAATGTTCCTCAACCTAGCAGGGGAGGAAGCTCAGGATGTATTTAATACATTTAAATTAAGTGATGTTGAAAGTAAGAATTATAAAACTGTAATAAAAACATTTGAAACGTACTGCAAGCCCCTAAGAAACGAAACATATGATAGGTTCAAGTTTTTCACCAGAAATCAGCAAGAAGGTGAGGAGTTCGATCACTTTTTAACCGAAATTAAAATATTGGCTAAAAACTGCAAATTTGGCGACTTGCATGACTCACTGATAAGGGACAAGCTAATAAGTGGAATATTGGACATCGCATTCCAGGAGAGGTTATTGAGAACAGAAAACTTAACACTTGAATTAGCAGAGGCTCAGTGTAAGATGTCAGAAGCAAGTAAACACCAAATGAAAGGCTTAAAAAATACTGAACAAGTAGACAGTATGAGGTTCAACAAAGGTAATGGTAGTTAAACACAAGAAAAGGAATATAATTGCTTTAAATGCAATACAAAACATGGACCAAAAAGTTGCAAAGCGTATGATAAGACATGCTCAAAATGTGGCAAAATGAACCATTTTGCTGTTGGTTGTAAAATCAAAGACAGCAAGGTAGGTAAGAACTTAAGATATAAGAATTTTCTTTAGCTTGAAACAGGCGCAAATTGCATTCGCATACCTGCAAAAACTTTAAGAAAATTAAAACTTGAGAATAAAATTATCCAAAATAATTTGTTGCTGAATACCTATGGTGTGAATAAAATAAAAGCTATTGGCTATGTTATCTTGAGATGTTTAATTAAAAATAAGAAACAGAACATAAAATGTTTAGTTGTAGAGTGTGACAGTATGCCCATTTTAGGATTAAATAAATAGTTTAGTCAACCATCCAAGGACCTTTTTTTTCAGTTATACATGTAAACCCCATACTTTGTGAGTGGCTTGCTTACATCAAGTCCTACAACTTTTCCTCTACGACTTTTCTCGGAAATGGCACGTATGCGCGCAGGCGACTCGCAAACATGTCGATCTGACGTAGCTATGTTTCCTGATACATGTAGGTAAATCTAATTTTACGAATACTGTTTGATTTTTATGTCTAAATCACGGAAATCAACTTGGCCGAGAAAAATAATGGCAAATTGAGTCCGATACCCCCAAAATGTCGATCTGACGTGGTTATGTTTCTTGATACATGAAAATCTAATTTCACGAATAATGTTTGATTTTTATTTCTAAATCACGGAAATCAACTTGGCCGACAAAAAAAATGGCAAATTGGGGGAGTCCGATACCCCTAAAATGTTTGCGAAAGAAAGAAATGATTTCACAAAGGGACAAAGTATCATAATTAAATTAGATCAGTCTTGGGTACCGGGAAAAGTTGTTGGAAATCATTCAAGTCCACGATCATATTTTGTTAGAGAAAATACTGATAAAATTTTGAGACGTAACTCATCTTTCTTACGCAATAATCCAAACCCAGTATCCTTGAGCTCGTGCTCTAATGATGTTATCAAAAATAGTAGTAATAGTGTTAAGAGTGTCCCAGTGAATCAAGATGATATCCCAGTATCTGTGAGCTTGAAGCCAAGTGTAACCGTAGAAAATACAGGTGTACCGTTAAACAAAAATATTGTAGTCTCGGCTAGTGACAATAATAATGTAGGTACCTGATTGTGACAATAACTCAAATATGACTAACGACAATTATATTACTCGTTTCGGCAGACATGTTAAACTGCCCAATAATTTTAGAGATTAGGTTAGATTTTTTGTGTATTTTAAGTTAGTACTGTTAGTAGATATAGAAAGGGGGATGTAACATAACGCAAAAACATGGTCACCTGCAGGTGCCCAGAACTGCCCAGAAGGATTATGACGGGTGTCATACAACATGAAAAAAATATGTAATTACGTTACCCTTTTGAGAAATAAAGATTTATTCTATGGAACGTATAAAGTGAATATCTATTAAATAAAACAGTCAGAATGTCGGGACGATGATGGAGCTATTTCAAGGATTCAGGGTCAGAATGTTACAGGCGATAGAGCATTAGTATTAAACTTAACAAACAATGTTTGATGTTAAAAAATCTAGTGTGTCCACTTAAGTTCGCAGCATATGGGAAACTTTTCATTATCAATTTTACGATAAAAAGTTATTCTTTATAAAAGCTTCTGCTTCTTGAAAAAATAATATTAAACTACTAAAACTTGGAATAGCATGTGCAGGGTGGTCAGAAAAAAGATTTTATTTGTGTTCCCTGGATTTTTTCATGTTTTTATGTCATCATAATTCGCATTTTTAGCACCCTGTAAGTATAATGTCTGTACAGGGTGTCCCAAGATTAATGGTAAATATTTTATTGGCAGTCGATTCAATAGCTTTGTTTGTTTATTTGCATCAAAGGCAAGGTAACACCAAGCTGCACCAGGTGATGACCAGGTATAGAATGAGAAGCAAAACCTTCAAATTCAAATCAAAATTCAAAAGCAAAAGGACAGACTGACAGACATGTAATTGCGAAATTTATGACCCAAATTTAAAAAAAAAAAAACAAATCAACTTTATCACCCTGTATCTTTGTATGGCCGTTGACTTTTGGTCTAGGAAACTTTGACAATGTCAATATTTTTTCATCTATATATAAAATCGACTGTCAAAATATTTACCATTACTTATGGGACACCCTGTATATAGATAGTAAATATTAACGACCTTCATAGATTTGTCCTTTCTAATCATTTGTTTTGTTGTTATTTTAATATGAATTTTTATATTTGCTCTGCAATCCGAATTTTTTGATTTTTCTTTTTTATTATTTGAGGGGGTAAATCTTTAATCCAAATTCTTATGTCAAGTTTGCCCGATAAGTGTTTTCTCTAACATTAGAATAAACAAACGTTGTGGATAGTTTTATCGCATCCATCTCCATCATGAATAAATATTAAAATGTCTCCGCGTAAATTTCAATAGAGCAATAAGCGGGAAATAAACAAAACATGCGGAACTTCTATAAGAGATAAGTGCAAGAGACCGTCCCGACATTCTGACTCCTGATCTAGCCCATGTAGTAACATTATGCCGCTCAAAATAGCCACATCGAATTTGATCGGTCAGATTTCCAGTATGGCTAGATTGAGCGGCAGAATGTTTTGATGCATCCCGACCAGTGAAGATAAAATTCGCGAAGAGTTTTTTTTTTTGTTTTCAGCGTCTTCAATCGAATCTTGTCCTTGTAAAACGTGCAAAGAAGTCACTATAGAAAGAAAATTTAAAACGGTTAAACTTCATTATGTGCGTGCTCTAAGTAATCAAAAGATTTATTTTATTAGAATAATTTAGTGAATTAAGGAAAAATTGTAAGTACCTACTCGAAAAATTAAGATATCAAGTATATAACCATTTATTATGATGACTTATGTTGTAAAGTGAATTAACTATGGAACATGGATCTTCAGGCGAAAACCTATATTAGAGGTGAATTGTATTTATAAAATCTAAAAAGAGTTTTCGATCCACGACACAACATATTTGAAAAAGAAAATGACTGATGCTTTATGTTTGATTCACCAATGTTTGGAACCAGTCTACGGGAAATTTCATGACTAAGCCAACGAGTATAAACCACATTAATACAAGTTTAAATATTCTGTATACCAGATATTTGAGAGTTACGTATTAGGATTTTTTACAATGTGATTTTCATCATTCTTTTCTATAAATAAACTTTCGTATAAATAGTAATTATCATTACTTGTAGGGCAGTATTATCAAAAACTATGTCGAAATGGCTGAATTCTGTAACAGCCAAAGAAAAAAACTTACCAGTCAACTGTGGGAACCTCTTCTTCAGGAAAGCTCTTTTCTCTTGAGTACCAACGGTGGTATACACTGTACACCCTATGTGAAGAGCCAAAGATATAGCAGCCTGACCTATACCACCAGTTCCAGAGTGGACTAGAACGGAATCGCCTCGCTTCAATCTTCCTCTCTGAAAATTTATGAAAAAATCAATTTGGCAATTTTTCTCATTGATGCAAATCTTACGTTTATTAAAGCATAAATACACGTTTGATAAACCACTGGTACTGTAGCCGCTTCCTCCAATGACCAGCTATCGGGCACATTCATTAGTAAGTAAGGATCAGCGTCCAGTAATGTTGCACAAGCTCCATTTGTTACCATACCCATCACTCTTCGTCCACTACAGAAACAATCAATATAATTATGTAGTCTAGTTATCATCACAAGTTTTTCTTTTCTAAATCTATACTTAAGTGCAATTTTCTGGCTCAAATTTTCCAAAACAAAGAAACTTACTCTGGAGTGCGTCCAGAAAACTCAAAACCTTGCACACATTCTTGCTCCCTCCTATCTCTGGTGATGCTGTCCACATTAATACGCCCTGACGCAGTCATGACGTCTCTGAAGTTAAGAGCAGCATAGTAAATCTAAAAACAATCAGTTAATTATTGAATAAATCAATTATTTGAACAAAAAATTACTTACAGAAACTAACATTTTTTCAACCCCCAACTGACTATCATTATGCAAAGGCCCCTCTATCCATTTCAATGAAGTCAAATCGCCTCTTTGCAACGAATTCAAATAGCAATGATCCGCTTGAATTTCTTTGGTTTGCTCTAACAGCAAGTGCCTGTAAGTACCCCATGTGGAATCTTTGAATATGTTGATTGCTAGGTTTTTTTCCAGCTGTTGTTTGTAGAAGGGATCAGTTGGGTCGAATGGTGGACAGGAACCGTCGGGAAGAAAAACTAGCTTCAAATTTTGACCTCCTGGTTCTCTTCTAATACATGCGACCAGGCCTAAGATTCCGTTTAAAGGTTCGCCTTGGGAGTATACTAAGACGTCTGGGTTAGTTTCTAGGCTGTCTTTGAGTTTGGGAAGCCATTTAAAGTCTTTGTCTTCTGAAGAAATTTTAATCTGGAATGATACACATTTTTAATATTGTAATGACCCGGGAACATAGACCCTTAAATTACAATGTCTTTACTGTAAAAATTAAATATAAACAAATAATCAAAAACTGAATTTCCTGTATTTCAAATCAGTATCAATAAATTGAAAATGAAACAAATTAACGTTGACTCCAAATACGTTCGAAATTATATTATTTTGTCACCAAGCCTGTGTCATCATCTAAAATTCCTAAAAATATTAAAAGCGAGGCCAAAGTAATGAAATCGGTGATTTATAGCGCACGTGTGTCGGTCTTTTTTTGAGTTATATGTGACATTCTTATACAAAATCTGTTGACTCCGATAAACTAGGAAATTGCGACATAATTATTCGGTTTTAAACAAAAAAATTACAAAAATTTCAAAGAGATTGCATCATCCTCTTAATGATTAATAGACAAAGATATTTTGGGGGGATAAAATAATATAAGTACAGCGGTTTCAGTTGAGATCATCAGTTGTTAGTTCAGTCCAGTTTGAGTTAAAGTCTGTACCTAATGAGTTAGTCCGGCAAAAATTCACGAAGAGTTTATTTTATTGTATCGCCTCGGGGAAAACGCGTTTAGTCAAAGTCTGAAAAGTACAGAAAATTGTGAAAGAAATAACGTTTAAAGTCATTCAACATTATGTGCGAGCTCTAAGTAATCAAAAGAATTAAATTAGAATACTTTTGTGTTTTAAGGACGAATGTAAGTACATACTCTAGTGACAAGTTTAATTTTGACCATAAATGATGAACATGACTTTGTGTGATTAAACTTTGAAATTTAATGCATAAAAACTTGAGTGACTTGACTCTTAAAACTTTATTGCATAACTTTGATTGCCCTCGAGTTTAATGATATTTTAATTAATTTTGCAAAGAATTAACAAAGGAAAATTATAATACTCTTATTAATTAAATAATTGTGTTTGTTGGCTAGGAATCCGAGTATAGTAATTATACTGTTCACAATGATCCTTAGTAAAAAATTGTTGTCGTTAATCATTAAAAGAAATGGAGAGTTTAATTTGAAAATTGTTGTTCATGAAGAAACATTGATAACCTTAATGCTGAAATTTTGAATTAGGGTTTTTCATTTAGAAATTATTGTAAGGTTTTTATAAAAATATAGTTGGTGATACATATATACTTAATTCAGTGAGTCAGATTATGACTTAAATAATTATTTTGCATAAGCGGTCAGTAAAGGTCTTAGAAGTTTTAAGAATTTAAAGATATAGGTGAAGGGCAGTTTTAATAGGAATGTGAATAGGCAGTGTTGTTTAAAAGAGTAATATATAAAGTTATTAAGAATCAAAGAAGTAGGGCGTTTTGTTTTTTTTTTTGGATATTTCCTGGTCCGTAGTAATGAAATTTGAACGGATGTGAAATAATTTGAATTGGGAAAAATAGAAGTGGCTGTCGGAATAGAAATATATTTGCTTATTTAAATTTTTGGTTTTAAGTATAATAAAATATAATTTAGTAAACCTCAATAGTTTGTTTCTCTCTTTTGCGAATAGACCCCTCCACAATTTTATAGGTAGCAGCTCAAGGAAATAAACACCATCAATATACCGCTTGCCTTTTACCATCTAACTAATTAAATAGAGTACTTGGGCATTTTGCTACAATATTATGATGAGTTTCAAGAATTTATAAAAATACCGTATAATTGGTTATCACAAATAACTTATAAATATTCCAATACAGAACGGTAAACAATAATACCTACCCAAGAGAGGTTAAAGATGCAGAATAATGAATAATGAACTACATAAAGTTAGAGAAGCAAAATAAACATAATCTATTTACAATAGAGACATGAAATCAGGAAAAAACTTTTATCGAATAAGAAATGTGAAGAAATTTTACAGAACTAATGGTAGACGTACAGAAAAAAAAATCAGTGAAATGTTACAGAGCCAAAAAAAATGGCATGATCATGGAATAATTTCAATAAAAATAATCAATAAATCAATAAAAGAGGAACATGAAAAAGACAACAATACAATGATAAACAAAAACAAAAGTATGCAAAATTGTAAATAGAACGTGAGAAAGGTGAACATTGTAGGAATAGCATTTGAATTGAAGTATTTATAGCTATACCTTGATGAGTGTATGATAAACTTGATATTTTCCGCAAATAATAAACAAGGATCAACATCCAACATCGATCAGCAATCACTGACAAAATTAACTTACTTACCACTTTAGGCGCTTTAAAATCAATCTTCTTTTTAAAGAAAACCAGTTGTTCTTTTTCAGTGGTGAATACAGTAACTATACATTGTGACCCATTATTTACTGAAGCCACATCGAAGTCTAATGGTTCTCTTGATAGGACAAATCCATTTTCTTTGATGGAACCGAATACCAGTTGGAGGATCTTAAAAGCAAAGAAAAAAAATATAGAGAAAAGATCATTTGTCATTAAAAAAATCATGTAATTTACTTATGTAAGAATTTGGTAAAGAAAAGTAGAGAATACTAAAGCTAATAACTTGATAATTTTTTGTACTTTTTGAATTTAATGAAAATCACAGAGCTAGCCTTCTCAAAACATCTATCAACAATAAATACTTCTGGTTACTTACATTTGGTCTCTGTAAAATCTTAGAAGCAACAACCAAACTACAATCCACTTCTGTCAGCAATTTCTTATCTTCAACTTTAACATGCTTTATGCTCAACTCCTCTTTGCTCAAAATAGTAATATCCGGTTGAATCAAAGGTTGATCGGCTAGAACATCATGTACGATTTCTCCCAAAGGCGACACGCCCTTCATTGTGGCATCATCGATCAATTCAACTGCCTTAACTTTAATACTGTACAAATTCTCCAATAATATTTGCATATTTATTCTAATGGCTTGCTCAGTTTTCAATTCGGCAATGTCGGGCATGAACATGTACTTTTCCAGAACTGGAGTTCCAAGATATTTTCTCCTAGCTATCGAGCTAGCGTTTAAACCTTTGATTTCTATCCCGCCAGATCTAATAATTCCAGTTGGTTTGGATATGTGAATTGGTAAACAAGGGTTTTCCTCCGTGTGGGTTTTAACGTATTCTAAGTGTCTTTTGGCATCAATGAAGAGCTTTTGGATGCTGGTAGGCACATAGAGCATACGAGTGTCTTCTTGGAGAATTTTGATTTGTAGGAGGTTATCTATGAAAGTGATCCAGTTGCCGTCCCATGTTACTTCGGCAACTTGACAACTGTTGTCGCAGCTTTTCAGTGAACGAAATTTACCTCTGGAATAAATTCAAAAATTAGAATATTTGTGTCTTCAGTTCTGTCTTGAGTTTAAGTCTACAGTACCTAATGAGTCAGTCCGGATAAGATTCGCGAAGAGTTTCTTTTATTTTGTTGCCTCGGGAAAACGGGCTTAATCGAATCTTTGAAAAAGTAAGGGAAAATTGTAAAAAAAAGAACATTTAAATTCATTCAACATTATGTGCGAGCTCTAAATAATCAAAAGAATTTCATTTAGATTAGTTTAGTGTTTTAAGGGGAAAAATTTAAATGTAAGTAATCTAGTGACAAGTTTTATTTTTGACTTTATCAATGTAAAAATGACTATGAAGTGAAAATGACTATGAAACTTTATTGCAAAAATATTATTAACTTGAGTGAATTGACTTTGAAACTTTATTGCATAAATATTATTACCTTGAGTGAATTGACTTAGAATATTTTACTAAAGAGTTTAGATAACCGGAATTAACTGTTTTGTTCCGTCTAGAAAATTATTAGTCTGATATTTTGGTTTCTAATTAAATTAATTTAGATAAAATGTTACATGTTTTGAACGTAATTTACCTCTGGAATAAATTCAAAAATTAGAATATTTGTGTTTAAATTTACGCGTTTTAAGTGGACGAGGGTGAGTTTTCCCGTGCTTGTAGAATTTAAATTAAAGCTAGCGTTTATGATTATGCTGAGATCTATTGAAATATTTAAATTACCTGGGTCCTATTCATTTTTGGTAAATGGGTGAAATACTTATAATGTACCCTTTTAGGTTATTAACTCCTTTTATGAATCGGTTATTTCCAGAGGAATTTAGCCTCTTATCTGTGACTTGATTCGCAAGATGCTTGAGAACAGGTATATAACGACGACCATACAGGGGGAACCAGTACAATTTAGAGCTGCCAGGGGCTGCCTGCAAGGATGGGTTCTCTCTCCTCTTCTGTAGTCTCTCTTGGTGCATAACTTGCTGGCCATAATTCAACTGTGGGAGGCTTGCAGGCTTATGCGGACGATAAGTCCATTGTAATAAGGGGATAATCGGAACATAGATTCTCCGAAACCCTCCAGGAAATGATAGACACAATACTTATAGATAAAACCAACTAAGAAGAAGCCATCGCGTGATCTTTTGTCTCACTTCAAATGGGAGGGCCCTAAAGAAAAGGAAATTTGCCTACTTCGTCAATGATGACGTCAGGGGTATTTCTTAGTTGGTTCTAACTATACATGGCGGGAGAGTGAGGATATGACAATAAGTCCTGACAAAATAACTGTAGTCCCCTTTTCAAGGAGAATGAAGCTTGAACATCTGATACCCCTTAAGCTACGGCGGGGTGGTGGTACCCTTTGCAAGCAACGAATTCAAATATCTCGGAATTACTTTAGATAAAAGGCTCACTGAGCAGGAAGCTCAGTATGGACCTGCCGCAGGATATGTGGCAAAAAGCAAATATACTGGTTATATATCATGATCATTAGACCAGTGATGATATATGGCTCAATAGACTGGTGAAAGAAGGGGCAATACTGACCAAACCAAGCTCAACGGACAAGCCTGTCCTCAAACTCAAAAACCATAGCTTCCACAGAAAATAAATTCTCTTCTAGGAAAAACATCTAAATAACTTAAAAAGCTACACAGTGATTTTCCACTTACTTATAGTTGTACCCTCTAAGCCTCAACTCCTTATAAATATCTTTACTATCCAAATAAGGAGCTACATGCTTTGGTACTCCTGTTGGCAATGGAATATCTGCCAAATCCATTTCTTTAGCGGTCACTTGTCTTATTCTTCCTGAAACTACTGGTGAACCGCCTAAAAAATATTTATCCATGCTAAGCTTGACTTAACTCATAAAAATAACTCACCTTCAACAACTTCAAAATTACCAGTCCCTCTCTGAACCATCACAGTCAAATCTAACTTAGAACCTTCCTTAGGTATAGAGCAGGCCCTCATAAATTTACAATTTTCAAAAACAACTCTCATATCTGATATCATTAGTCCATGAACGAAAGCCAAAGTTTCCCAAACAAACTGCAAATAGCCTGTGGCAGGAAACAGATTTCTTCCGTCGATAACATGCCCACCCATAAAACTATATGCAGGATCTTTTAGCATTATTCCGATAGTTCTTTCCTCAACTTCCATTTGCTCGTCGCATTTATATAAAGTCACCCACCATTTTTGAGCGTGGTTCCACTTGATTTTCGGAGATATCATCGGAGTGCCTCTGCTTACAGGAAAGTCAATTTTTGGATAGATATTAGAGATTTGAGGGTTCAAGCCTAACTCGTATAATTTTCCTAGAGAACTTAAGCATCCATTTAGGTCTTCTCCAACGTTTAAAAAAAAATTTTCGTGTGTGTTTGTGAAGTGTTTTTGCAAAGTATCTATTGAATCTCCGTTACCAATTTCATAAATAGCAAAGTCTTCATTTAAAGTAGCCTTTACGTCATTAAATACTTTCGTTCTTCCAAAAGAGTTTATCAGATAAACAGAAGACATTTCTGGTGGACTAGCATCAAATATAACACGCTTACTAAATCTTCTAGGTTTGGATAAAATCCTGGTTAAAGCTTGTTGTAAGTTCGTAGCTACAGTGCCACTTTTTTCAACTAAATTTCCCAATTCATTACTGTCAGTACCATCGTTTTTACTCACGGAATTTGCAGCTGAAGCGATTGCAAATGCACATTCCACGGCTTCGTTTAATGTTATTGCTGCATCAAAATAAGCTGATACTAATATTCCTAAGGAAAGGCCTTTGTTGATACCAAAAAATTTGCTTGGTTGAAGGTCCAAGGCTTTTACTAGGTCAGCAAATATCATCTGGATAGTGAAGTTTGAAAGGACTTTGTCTAAAGTTGTTGTTAATTTGGGTTTGAGGAGGATGTCGGTGATGTTGATGGATTTTAGGTCCAGAGCTTGATGAATTCTGAAAAATATTGAAGTCAGGATTTTGTTGACTAAATTGAAAAATACTAAATTTGTTTCAACGTCAAAAACTGATTCCTGATGAATAATACGCATATAATCATTGACCTATGAATTGAATGAGCAATAATTGAAAAAATATTGCAATGCGTTGTTCATTACTAACCTGTAAATTGTTCCGGCTACCAATGGTACTTCCATAAAAGCTTTGATTTTCTCTGTCATGATATCGTTAATTTTTCCAAAACACACGATCAAAGACGGTGCCTTGGCAGCACTATAATTGAAAGATCTTTTCATTTCTCCAGATTTTGAGGCAAGGATGTAGCCTCTATATAAATGACCAACCGTAGTTTTTCTGAAAGAACACAATATCAAATTTGCGGAAGTTAAAAATGTCAATCAAAAAACCATTACCTGAAAGACTCTTGCAGCAACCTAACATGTTCAACATCAACACGATTTTCAATAACATCTTCCAATAGAGCATTAACAGCTTCTTTTGTTCTTCCACTGACGCAAACTAACCTAGGAATATTGTCTTTGGCTCTCCCATAATTAACTTTCGGCTTTGTGTTTTGTTTCAGAAGCACGTGACAGTTTCCACCACCAAAACCAAAACTGTTGATACCAATAATGCCTTTGTTATCGTTAAATGGTATTTTTTCTGTAACAACTTTCAATCTCCCATCCAGTAAGGCTTTCACGTTTGGATTTGGTTCATTGTAGTGCAAATTTGGTGGTATGTAGCCTGTTTCGGTTGCAATGATTGCCTAGGACAATACATGTAATTAGTGCTTACATTACACAATGGGTGATGAAAATGGTACTGTAAAGACTCACAAAAAAACGAGATCAGTTACTGAAATATTATTTTATTAATTTAATCTATTCAACGTTTGGCCTTGATTCAAATGTATAGTTTATTGCCAGCGGCATCCTTTGGGATCATTTTTGAGACGCAGGAATTTAAATAGATACAAAGTAACATGAATTCGTACAGAGACAAAAAAAAATTAAATTTTGAAGTGTCTCCTTTAACGGATTTATAATTTATTATGGCGGCATCCGTGCGCGAATCTTTGATATATTTGGAAAACAAACACGTACAAATTTTTGTCGGCTTATAGGCCAGCAGGTAAATAATAAATAAAGGGGGCAGCTGGAAAGTATTCCGAAGTTATTGATATTTTGTCATGTCGTTTGTGTATAGTATGTAGAGTAGAATCTAAGTTTTTGACCTCAAGGACCCTGTGCTAACTTGGAGGGAAGTCGAAAGACCTAATAATTTTCGAAATTTTTCGGTTTTTTACTCATAACTTCTACTACTACCACGCGTTTTAGCGGAATATACCTATTTATAAAGTTGAAGAAAATTGAATTTCTTTCAAATTTAACTGGTCAAAAGTATTCATTAACGCAATAGTAATCGAGATACAATGGTTTAAAGATAAAAAAATCTCACCTTTTCAAAAATTTCTTCCCGTCCGAACATAATTCAAACCAAGCATGGGATAAACATTTTTTATGCTCATCCCTTTCACTTGCACTCACAGTCTACTGTGCACCTGAATTATTAGCTTCCTAGATAGGAAGCTATGGTGATAGGCCGATTTTGACCAAGTCAAAATTTCGTTAAATCTTGACGTTTTGGATCATTTTAAGCCTTTCTGGCAAGGTGGCACATTTCCGTCTGTGTGTGTGTGTGTTGGCATTTTTCTGAGAAAACGGCTCGATCGAATTTAATAAAATTTTGGAAATAGGTATAAGAAGACGTGTAGGGAAAAGTTACACAGAGATATAGGAAAAAAAAATTCCTCTCAAAGATATGACGTCATTGATCTTTTTTTTTAAATGGGAACGCCATCTTTTTTTTCATTGATTGGATAGAGCTCATTTTGCTTTATATAATCTCAAAAATCTCAATAGGTTTCATTGGGACATTTTTGAAAAAAACCAGATGTCAAATTTTTGACATAACGCTTCCTAGAATCGTGAAAAATTATCCGTAATTTTGAAGCTCTCGTGGTATTATGTGGTATTATCCCCGAAAAATGATATTAAAACTTGAAAAAATATCAAGATTTATTAAAATGAATTCATGGTTTGAAATGACAATTATTGACAACGACAATCATTGACAACGACAATCATTAATTGAATAATTATTTTTGGAAAATAAAGGTGTTGCTCCTGAAGTTGTGCACTGTCACTTAGCTCGAGCTATTGGTATCACCTGTATGAAGACCTGTTTGGAAAAAAGGGAATTTTCAAGAGATGAAATTAAAGCGGTTATACAACTCACTGTAAATTATTCCCATATGACACAAGAGGCTTAAAAAGTGTTAAGCCTTTTGGGATTATCGCGCTTGATGGCAATATTGTTCATTTGCTATTAATAATAATAAAAATCAATAAAGTACTAAAGTTTAGTTCGTTGTATAACCATTTGAATACCACTCGATGTTTCAGGATTACCTAATACTTTTACCTGACACTCAACGCGTTACCAGCAACACCACTCCTCCTTCGGAGTCGTGGTGTTGCTGCGTAACGCGTTTCGTGACAGGTAAAAGTATTATCCGGTAATCCTGAAACCTCTTGTGGTATTACATTCGAAAAGATAAGGTTGTTTCTCTAGCATCTATTTTCTGTTGTGTGAAAATTAAAGACAAAAAGTTCACAATAGACCCTCTCACTCTCTTTCAACGGATTCGCATAATAAAACAAACAGATGATGACCTTAGAAACTTGTTGAAATTGTGTTGTATGTGACGTTTGGCAGAAGGGCGCCAATGGACAACCCAACCTAACCTCACTTACATACGTCAGAGTTGGCGGCACTGTGTTCCAGGATCAACAACAACAATCATAATAAAAAGTAATTACACAAAAATGAGTTTTATTTCCTACTGAACTATTATAACCACATAATACCTTGGTTACGATAATCATAAACAGGGTCTTAACTCCCAAGGGAGTTAAGGATTTCATAACTCCCGCGGGGGAGTTAAGGATATCATAACTCCCAAGGGAGTTAAGGATTTCCATAACTCCCGCTTTTACCTTGAATAGGTGAAACTTTGACAAAAAATAGAAATTTTGGTTTCTGGTTTATTTCTTTATAAAAATGGAGAAAATACAGTAAATTCAGTAGGAAATAAAATTATCTATGTACCACGGGAATTATCAGGTGTTAATACCCTCGGGACACAAACTTTGCCCTGGGGTATAGGTATATATAACACCCTCATAATTCCCTTGATAGGTACATAAATAACTATTTTTCTGTGACAGGAAAGAAGTAGACTTTTTGTACCTGTTGACAGGGGCAAAAATGTCACTTTTTCTCCCATGGGAAAAAAGTGATTTTTTTTCCCACTGGAAAAAAGTAACAGGTACCAGTCAATTTTTTTTTCTGAGGGAAAAAAGTAACAGGTACCAGTCAAATTTTTTTCTCAAAGGGAATAATGTATGGATGGAAAATGTTGAGATTTTCCTGTCACAGAAAAAAATAGTGTATTATACATGGGAAAAAAGTACTAGATTTTAGCGCGAGGTGTGGTTTGTCTCCTGACGCGAAGCGGAGGGAGACAACACAGCAATAAATAACTATTATTGATGATTAGTGAATACAAAACATGGTGTCAGGTCTAAAAGCTTAAACAAAAAAGGCTACGGAAAGTGTCAAAAATAAAATGGAAATTTTTTTGTTTAAACCGCCCCAAACGTTGGATTTATCAGAAAACATTGCTGAAAACTGGACGCAGTTCAAGGAGAAATTTGATATATTTATGAAGGTGTCTGAGTATGACAAAAAAGCCGAAGAAATTAGAGTAGCCATGCTTCTGAATGTTATCGGGGATGCAGGTATGGAGCTGTTTAATAGTTTTAATATCAGCGAGATAAACAAAAAGAATTATACCAAAGTTATTACAGAATTTGATAATTTTTGTTTGCCAAAAAAGAACACTGTTTTGGCAAGATTTTTCAAAAGAGATCAAAAAGAAGAAAAAATTTTCGATCAGTTTTATGCTGATTTGAAAAAATTGGTCAAACCATGCAGTTTTGGGGATCAGGCTGAAAGTCTAATTGGGGATAAAATTATCATGAGCATTTTTGATGTATCCTTACAGGAGAGATTGCTAAGGGAAGAGCTGACATTGAAAAAAACAGTAGAGTACTGTAGAGCATATGAATCAAGTAAAGAACAGGCCAAAATTTTACATGACAATAACAATTTTGAGGTTAATAGCATGAGAAAAAATCAACAAACATTTAAAAACAATGAAAATAGGTATTGGAGAAAAAAAAAAATTAAACTGGAATTTGAGTGCAAGAAATGTGGAAAACGGCATGGGCCTCGCAACTGTCCAGCATTCGGAAAAAATTGTGTTTATTGTGGTGAACAGAATCATTTTGCTAATAAGTGCTACAAAAGGCTTAGAAGGCAAGGGATGAGAAACAGAAATATACATGAAGTGTCTCAAGAAAAGTTGGCTACACAAGAGGATGAAGAATAGGTCAATGAACTTTTTGTCGAGGAAATTTCCACAAAAAATAATAAATTGGTATGGTTGTATGATTTGATAATTGCTAAAGTTAAAATTCCATTCAAAATAGACACTGGCGCTGATATCAACATAATATCTTTTGATATGTTCAAAGAACTTAGTTACAACTTGGTAACAATGCTGTTTTAAATAAAACAAAAAATGTAGTGAAAGCATTTGGAGGTTCAACAATTAAAGTTGGTGGTGTAGCAAAATTAGCTTGTAAATATTTGGGTGAAAAAAATAATGAATGGAAAGATGCTTTGATTGATTTTTATGTTGTGAATATGGATTGCAATCCTCTAATTGGACTTAAAACATGTCTGGATATGGAATTACTCAACACTGTGTGTGAACGTCGATCGATACAAATCAGTGTTTCATGGGTTGGGTAAATTGCCATTTCAATACAAGATTCGCCTTTCTGATGATGCCGTGCCGGTTGTCAAGCCATCACGTCGTTATCCTGAGGTCATAAAAATCAAGTTAAAGTCAGCCCTGAACAATTAAGAAGATAAAGGTGTTATTTCAAAAGTTACATCTCCAACTGACTGGGTGAGTGATTTAGTAACTGTTGCGAAAAAAGATGAATCTATTAGAATTTGCCTTAATCCTGCAGAATTAAATAAATAATACTAAACGTGAACATTATTTCATTCCTATTGTGGAAGAATGATCTTTTAAACTTGGGGGAAAAAAGTTATTCACTGTGTTAGATATGAAAGATGGGTTTCATCAAATCGAGTTAGAAAAAAAATTTACTAATGTATGTTGTTTTAACACACCTTTTGGTCGTTATAAATTTTTGAGGCTACCTTTTGGTCTGTGCAGTAGCCCAGAGGTGTTTCAAAGAGAAAATATGCGTATTTTTGGGGACATTGAGGGAGTTCAAATTTATTTTGATGATATTATTATAGCAACAAAGGATGAAAGTGAGCATGATTTTATATTAGATAAGGTAATGGATAAGGCTATTGAGTATAATGTTAAATTTAATGGGAAGAAACTTCAATATAATGTAAATAATGTGAAATATTTGGGCTTTATTTTTTCAGATGAGGGTGTGCAAGCAGACACAAAGCAAATCGATGCCATTTTAAAATTACCAGAGCCAAAATGTAAAAAGGATATATAACGTTTTTTAGGTATGTTAAATTTTTTGCATAAGTTTATTCCAAATTTTAGTCAAATTTCAGCACCTTTGCGTTCATTGTTGGGAAAAAATATAAAATTTAAGTTTGCAAAAGACCAAAGAAGCACTTTTGATACGCCTAAAAAACTGGTCAGTAAGGCTCCCGTTCTTAAAATTTTTGACCCTTGTGAGCATGTAGTCATTCAAACAGATGCAAGTAATGAAGGGATTACAGCTTGCTTGCTCCAGAAGGGTCAGCCAGTGGCATTCGCTTCACGAAGCTTAAGTAGTTCTGAAAAACGTTATCCTATTATTGAAAAAGAACTGCTGCCTGTTGTGTTTTCTTGTGAACATTTTCATCAATTTATTTATTCAAGAAAGGTGGAAATTAATACTGATCACAAACCAATTGTTAATATCTGGACCAAAGACATTCATAAACATAGTAATCGTATTCAGAGATTAAAACTTGAGTTGTTTAAATACATTTTAGAAATAAAATATTTGCCAGGTAAATATATAGCAGACTATTTGTCTATAGAGCTTCAGTGGGTTGTAGTAAAAATATAAATGAAGAGGAGTTAAATGAAATGAAATGTGCATTCTGTTAGCTTGTCACAGGCTACTAGAGTTCCTCGTACTTTCTTGGAAAATATTGCTATTTTTACACAGAGAGATGAAACTCTCGGTCAATTGATCAAGTAGGTATATTAACAATGGATGGACCGATTTTAATATTAAAAAGAGTAATAGTGTGGAAATTAAACACTACTATAATTTGAGACACAACTTGTTTTTTAAGAATGATATTGTTTTGTTAGATGACCGTATTATTATTCCAGAAGCATTAAAGGATGAAATGTTAATAAAAATTCATGGCAATGCTCATTTTGGAATTGTAAAGAGTAAGCAGCGAGCACGAAAACGATTATATTGGTACTGTTTCAATGAACAAATTGAGCAATATGTCAGAAAATGTAAAAAATGTGAAAAGTTTCAAAGGTCATGTATTTCTGATTTGTCATAATAAACCAGATTTGCCTTTTGCAAAATTGTGGATGGATATTTGCGAATATGGGAGAAAATCATATTTGATAGTAGTATATTTTTTCTCTAAATGGTTTGAGATAATAAGTATTAAATCAAAAGCTATTTCAGAAATTATTCCAAAATTAAAATCAGTATTTTGTAAACATGGTTATCCAAAATTTATTGTATATGATAATAGTCCTTTTAATAGTTTTGTATTTAAATTGTTCGCCAAAGACCATGACATTCAGATATTGTTTAGTAGTCCCTATCATACGAAAAGCAATAGAATGGCAGAGAAAGCAGTGGGTATTGCAAAATCAATAATTAAAAAATGTAATAGTGAGTCAGAAATACAGGGTGTCCCACGGTGGATGGCGTATTAGACGTTTATGGAGAACTAAAAAGCGGATCATTTTGAAAATTTGGCAACCGGGATAAACGATCATTATCTACACTTTAAAAATATTTTGACGCTTCTACTTTAAACTAGTGGCAACATCACTATTTTAAATGGAACACCCCGTATGTGATTGCATATTTGGATTCTTCGTAAAATTCTGAGCAGATTTCATGTGATACCTAAGTTCAACTGTTTTGGAAATATTGACAGTTGAAAATTGACTTTTTGCAACTTTGACAGGCTGTAAAACCTGAACGGTTAATTTTAGAGGAAAACCGATTTTACATTCCTGTCTTAGATTTTTATAAACTATCATTTGACACCAACTTTGAATTAAATCCATGATTAAAAATTTCAGTTAAATTTAATCTCCGGTTAAGTTCAAAGTTGGTGTCAAATGATAGTTTATCATTTTACATAGAATCCAAATATGCAATCAGATATAGGGTGTTCTATGTAAACTAGCAATGCTGCCACTAGTTTAGAGTAGAAGCGGCAACACCGCATGGTCAAAAATATTTTTAAAGTGTAGATCATGGTTGTTTATCCCGGTTGCCAAATTTTCAAAATGATCCGCTTTTTAGTTCTCCATAAACGTCTAATACGCCATCCACCGTGGGACACCCTGTATATGATGCTTTATTACAATATAGAACAACTCCTGTGGCTAGTTTGGAATTTACGCCTAGTGAAATGTTAATGAGTAGACTGTTAAGATCAAATTTGCCAATATCTGACGCTGTTTTGCAACCGAAGGTAATTTGTAATGATGTGATCTCTAGGATGAGGGAAAATCAAAATAAAGTAAAAACTTATTATGATCAGAAAACTTTAGCGAAACCAGAATTTTTGTCTGGTGATAATGTGATTATTCAAAACAAAATTACAAAACTATGGGAGCCGGGTAAAGTTGACAAGCCTCTAGAGTCTCCAAGATCATATCAGTTACTGAATGCTCAAAATACAAAAATAATTCGAAATAGTAATCATATAAGACCCTCATTGAATAAATCAAGTATCAATAATGAATTATTAGAATCCTCTCAAGAAAATGAATTTCTTAGGTCTGAGATCGCACCATTTTAAACCTGATGTTTCAGAACATTTTTACAATAATTCTGATTACTGCGAACCAAATGTAGGAACATGAACTCAATCAAGTGCGAATCAGTTATCTAATGTTATTTGTAGGTCAGGTCGTCAAATACGGACACCTAAACATCTTTTAGATTATATTTTGTACATTTGCATTCTAGTTTGGGTTTGGTTTTTAGAATTTGTATTTCCCTTTGTAGTTAGGGTTATTTTTCTAAAAAGAAAAATGTAATTTTTATTAATTGTTGAACTTAAAGGGGAAGATGTGTTGTATGTGACGTTTGGCAGAAGGGCGCCAATGAGCAACCCCACCTAACCTCACTTACATACGTCAGAGTCGGCGGCACTGTGCTTCAGGACCAACAACAACAACAAACATAATAAAAAGTAATTACACAAAAATGAGTGTTATTGATGATTAGTGAATACAAAACAGAAATACGAGCAGCCCCTTTCCCGATGTCTCTCTTCGCAGAGGGAGGCAACGTGCATACACGAGGGCTTAAAGTCAATTTTGTATGTGGTATGCGTATGAGAATTGGTGTGCAATGCTATAGTGATTTTTGATGGGTATCCTGTAGGCATAAGTTAAGAAAGCACCAAAGCAGTATAACGATATCGACGATCTTTGCTGCACGCATAGTCAAAGTTTGTGTTTTCCATAGGGCAACCGAATTTTTGAACTACTACATATATCTCCGCAGGTAACTAGTGGATCGAAATGATCGAATACTTTTGGCCAGTGAAATTTAAAGGAAATTTGAAGTTTTTCAACTTTGTTGAGAAGTTATAAGACAAAAACTGGAAAAGTCCGATAATTTCGAGGTTTTAGTTGCGGTTAACGCGGAAAATAATTCAGGTGCACAGTTAACATAGGTATATAGTCTGTGGGTTCAGGTGAAAGAGATGAGGATAAAATATGTTTGATTTGAATTGTGGTCGGCCGGAAGAAATTTTTGACAAGTTGGGAATTTTTCTGTATCTTTGAATCACTACTATATCTCTGTTACTATTACGTTGAATAATACGTTTGACTAGTGAAATTTTAAGGAAATTTAATGTATTTCAACTTTATAACCAGGCCTATTCCGCTAAAACGCATAGTTTAGAAAATATAAGCAAAAAACTGAAAATTTCGTGGTTTTCCGACTTCCCCCAAGCTAGCACAGGGTCCTCGAGGTCGAAAACTCAGATAAGTATCAAAATATCATTAACTTCGGAATACTTTCCAGCAGAAAGTACTTGCCTGCTGGACTATTATAGATTCTCAAAGAAAAGAATTTCTAAAAGCATGGGACCTGAGTACCTGAGGTCAGAAATGACGCAAAAATCGTGTATAGAAAGGGCATGTCCATGCAGTTGAAAGTCAGTAAGTTAGTACGGTCAGCTTGAAACAGACAGTTAGAAGCTAGTTAGAAGCTTAAGTTGAAAGTCGAGTAATAAGTCAGTTTCCCAAAAATGTAGTAAACAGTAAATTTCAGTCTAACTCTAAACAAAGTTACGATATTAGGAAATTCTTGAATCGGAGTGAGAAAATTCTTAAATCCTGAAAACCAGTGAACTTACAAGCGGCAAATCAATAATTTCCGATGTAAACAAAACTGTCTAAGATCCTGGTCAAATGGCAATTCATAAAAGAGAATTTTAATCGCGAGCTTGAAGTACCTAGTTAACAGAAACCGAGCAATAAATTCGGGATCAGTAGTAAATTAAATTACGCGTCGCGACGACAAGTAAAGACACCCCTAGGAAGAGAATTGAATATTGTATACCAAGGTTAATACTTTTGTGAACTTAACTTGTGCACTTCGTTTAAGAATTTTAAATATTCGAACTATAACTTACCCATTGACTATTAGTAATATGCATTCACTGCTCGAATTATTATGCTAGTAAATCGTAAAAACTTTTAAAGAGTATAATAGCAAAGAGGCGATTAAAAATAAATAAAGGATTTGATGATATGTTTTTGAAATGAAAGCTACTATTTTAAGAGATAAGCTCTCAAGTCTTGGAGTGAAAAATGTTGTTCACTTCATTAAATAAATAAAGATACCTATTTCAACCATTTCAAATGCAGAAGATTTGTGTACTTATTTCCACCCTTAGCAATTACAACCCTATCACTGTAGCCACCTTAGTGAAAATCTGTAACAAATTGGAAACCGCTCTCCAACAATCAACATCTTAAACAGGGAAACTAGGGCTGGCGCTACAGTACTTTTTCAACGTGGAGACAAAATAAGAATTATTGCATGCATAATCGTCGTGTAATGAATGACAAAAATGACAAATGAATATACATAATATAGGGAAACAAACATGCTTACTTTATCAGATCGACATTAAAATTTAATAAACAAATCAGTGAAGCTTGCGTGGCTTGGTTTACCTGATTGAATATAAAATTTTATTCAAATAAATAGGTACATACATAAATGCATTATAAGCTTTTATAAAAACACATCTGTTTGTTAAACTATCACCCAATACGCATTGCCTAATAAATTGACAAATCAACAACAACATTTAAGCATGATTACCTTAGCTATAGAACACAATCCAGAAGATGGCTCTGCATGTCCGATATTCGACTTCACAGATCCAATCAAAAGAGGCGTATTTCTATTTTTCAAAAAAACCTCTTCAACGGCCTGAAGTTCCTCTGGATCACCTACTTTGGTACCAGTTCCGTGAGCTTCCAAGTAACTCAAATCCGTTGGTTTTACCGCTGAACATTCCTGGTAAAACTCACTCAGAAGTTTCACCTGCATTTCTCCCGAAGGATAAGTTATTCCTGAATCTTTGTATCCATCACAGTTAGTTTTGGCGTGCATTATCGTGCAATAAACACGTTTCGATTCTTTGGCTTTCTGAAGAATTATGCAGGATATGGCCTCAGATCTTGCGTAACCGTTGCAGTTTTTGTCAAAAGCTTTACAGGAACCATCTTTACTCAATACTCCCAATCTTGAAAACAAATAAATATAATTTCATCGAAGTACACTCTACTAACAAAAGAAAGCAACTTTAAAAAGGATTGTAATTCAGTTCAATGAAAAGATCAGGAAGAAAAAAATTAGTACCTTGAAAATTGCAAAGATACAAACGGGTGCAAGCAAATATTAGTTCCACCAACAATAGCTCTATCACACTTTCCCTCTCTAACAGCTTTATAGGCATGCTCAAAAGCATACAGGGAGCTACTGCAAGCTGTATCCGTGATAAAAGACGGTCCTTTTAGCTTGAAAAAATAGCTGATCCTGTTGGCAATCATTGATCTTTCGCATCTGGAAACCAAATTTTAAACAAAAACTCAATGCCGCTAAACTTGTTGAACCTACCCAGTTATAGCAAAACTCTGCGGTAACAACTTATCAAAAAACCAACATTTTTCGTTTTCGCTGAAACAAGAACCAACGAACACCCCAGTATTGGTGCCTTCTAGCTCTGAAGGATGAATACCAGCATCAAATAAGGCAGCAACTGTGTTTTCTAGGAACATTCTTATCATAGGATCCATGGCGGTAGCTTGGCGATGATGGACACCAAAAAAACCAGCATCAAAATTGGCAATGTTTGGTACTTTCCCAGTTCTTTGTGGGATTTCTGGATGGCCCGGCTCCCATCTACGGCTATCAGGCGAAACCATGTCTACTTTATTGAATAAGTTGTCTCGAAATTCATGGATATTGTCTGAATCTGGATATTTTCCAGAAATACCTGAAAATTACACCAGAATGTTCAGACATGTCTGTTCAAAGCAAATCAAAATCAACAAGTAATTATTAGAAGCTGAACGCAACAAAAAAATAGAAAAAACTTATTAAATATTAAGGTGAGGTCCTACCAGAAATAACAATTTCATCGCCTTCAGGTGGATTAGCCAATAGTCTTCCAAATTCAATATTCAAATCAACGTTTTCTTTCGATGGCATATTGTTTAATTTTTATAGAAACTTATAAAGAAATGAAAAACCCCTATACCAACAACAATTTATAAGGAATAAACTATTCTAAAACCAACACTTGTATGAATAACAGAAAAACAACCACCAAAAATTAAAAAAATAAACTAAGAATGAACGGATCTTAGACTGCGGAAAGCTCTGCACTGGAAAATTCACTACTAAGGAATACTAAAAAATGGAAGTTTTTAATGGGCTTTTATTAAATCCGACAAAAAAATTAGCATAGGACATTCAATGGTTATTAATTTACAACCATTTGCATTTTTTTTTCGTTGCGTTTTATTTCTACAGTCGTTTTGACGGTGAATTTCAAATTATTTCCATAAATTAATCAACGGAAACGACGAGACCTTTTTTTTAACAAAGTAGGTATTTATTGTCAAAAATTACAATATACAGGTCACCTTCGTTTAAATCGGATTTTTTATTAAAGAATTTAACGCCTATTTATTAAATATAATTCAAATTTAACTTTAAAATGAAATCATTGAAAAAACTCAAATCATGGATAACAACTGGAATCTGTATGTAGATATGTATGTATGTATGTATGTGTTGGAGGTGTCAGTTGCACTGCGACCAAGGTTCATCTATTGTACCCCTCCTTCTGCTGCTAAGTTCGGGTTTCCTGCTTAAAGCAGCCCCTCTAGTCCTAGGTTCTTTAGGAATTTTAGGATGTCTAGCAGTTCCAGGGCTGGAATGTCTTCCAGCTGTATAAGGGGACTTCCCAAGTTCTTCATTCTTGAGCGGCTTACGGCATCGCAGTTCAGTAGAAGAGAGAGGTGTTTCTTCACCATCTCCACAGAATCTGCAAGTGTTACCTTCTTCCAACCCCAGATTATGTAGGTGCTTATTCAGTCTGCAATGTCCCGAGAGAAACCCGGTTAGAGTTTTGAGACTTTTCTTGCTAAGGTTGACCAGCAGTTCAGATCTTTTTTGGTTGTAGCTACCCAGTAGACCTTTGGCCTGTCGTAGTCCTGGTTGGTCTAGCCATTGTTTGTTCCTTAGCCGGTTCTCTTCCATTTTGAGGATTTCTTGGAGGTGCGCATTTCCGACGCCGCAGAATGGTTCTGGCCCAGTGAAGGGAGTGGCCGCTCCCGTTTTTGCAAGTTCGTCTGCGCATTCATTGCCCTCGACTCCTAAGTGTCCAGGAACCCAGAGTAGGGTTACTTTGTTTTCCTTCCCCAGCTCATTGAGTTTCTGTAGACATTCCCATACTATCTTAAAATTGATTACCGGCGAGCTCAATGCTTTGATAGCTACTTGGCTGTCAGACATTATTACAATTTCTCGTTTTCGGTACCTTCTGTTCAGGTTGAACTGCACGCATTTTCCGATCGCATGAGGTTCGGCTTGGAATATGCTTGGTGATTGCCCCGAGTATCTAGTTCGTGGCCCGAATACTCCGGCTCCTGTCCCCTCAGCAGTTTTGGAGCCGTCTGTGAACCATTTGATGGTGTTTGCTTTAAGGGACCGGATACATTCTATGTTCCATCTGTTCTTTGTAATTAGTTCGATGGGAAAGCTTTTCTCGAAACTGAATTTATCAACAATCGCGTCTTTTCGTAAGTCCATGAGGTGTGCACAGTTTGGGAGAGGGAAAGCTCTGCCAAAGTGCGTTTTCCCTTGTAGACTTATCTTCGCCAGTCTTAGACATGATTCACTGGCAACCCGCTTCACTATTGTGTGAAGTGGTGTTAGGTCTAGGATGACTTCCATTGCCGCGGTTGGGCATGTTCTCATTGCTCCTGTTATGCATAGACATGCGAGTCTTTGTACCTTTCCTAGGGTTTCCTAGCCATTACTAGCTGGGTTCGGCTGTACCAGGCTACCGCTCCGTAGGTGATGATAGGTCTCACTATCACGGTATACATCCATCGTAGGATCGATGGGTTACAACCCCACGTTTTGCCCGAGATGTTTTTACATACCATGAGTGCCGAAATTGCTTTGTTTGTTATGTTCTCTCTGTGTCGGTTCCAAAGGAGTTGAGTCTAGGGTTATTCCTAGGAATTTAACTTCTTGTTTCCAGTGAAGCCTGCTTCCATCGAGGCGAATGTTCCTCAGGCATGGGAGTTTCGTTCTTTTTGTAAATGTTACCAGTGTGGTTTTTGATGAGTTAAGATTCAGTCCCACAGTCTGACACCATTCCTTTGTGGTTCGGAGTGTTTTTTCTATAAGGTCACAGAGTATTCCTTAGTGTTTGCCTCTGGCTATGATGACAATATCATCGGCGTAACCAAGGCAGTTGAAGCCCTGGTCTGTCAGTGTATTTAGTAGATCATCGACTACTAGACTCCACATCAAGGGTGAGAGTACCCCTCCCTGTGGACATCCTCTCGTTGTGGTGACTTGTATGGTTTGCTCCCCCACATCCGTTTCTGCAGTTCTGGTGGCTAACGTTTCACACATCCAGGTGAATGTGGTTTTGTCCACTCCTTTTCTGAGAAGCGCATTCTTTATTGACTCATGAGAGGTGTTATCGAAAGCCCCCTCTATGTCTGAGAAGGCGCAGATGGCTACTTCTTTATTCAGCAGTGTGTTTTGGATGCTGTCAGTGAGTTCAAATAGAGCGGTTTCTGTTGATCTGCCCGCTCTGTAAGCATGTAGCCTAGGATGTAGTGGCGTCTTTTCTAGAACATTTGTTCTGATATAGTTATTTACAACTTTCTCAACTGGCTTCAGTAAGAACGACGTGAGACATATAGGTCTGAACGACTTCGGTAGAGTGGCATCCTTTCTCCCTGCCTCCCTGAAAGTTACTTTAGCTCCTCTCCATTGACTGGAATGACTGGGTATGTATCCGGTCGCTAGGCTGTATCTAATGAGTTTGATTAGATACGGCATAATTTTATTTTGCCCTTTTTGCAACAGGGCTGGAAAAATGCCGTCCACTCCAGGTGACTTGAACGATTGAAATGAGTCGATCGCCCAAGCCAGCCGCTGCGGAGTGCAAAGGTTCTTGGCAACCTCCCAGTTTTCTTGCCTGGTTTTTCTGGGCCGTTCTTTGTTTTCTTCAGTACCATTGGGTATACTTCCTGGAAATTGGATTTCCAGTAGTAAAGCAGCTTGTTGCTCTTCATTTTCTGTATAACTTTCGTCTGGTTTCTGAAGTGTCAATGGTCCTTGCGCCCTGCCTTTTGCAGGGTTTTGTATATTCTGGCTGCTGATGGTGTTTCTGTGATAGATTCACAGAAGTTCTGGAAGTTTTTTCGTTTGGCCTTGCTTAATTCTCTGTTGTACTCAGTCATTCTTTCGGTGTAGCCCTGCCATTCTCCGTCCCGTTTGGCTCTGTTAAAGAGACAGCGAACCTCGGATTTAAGTCCTGACAGGTGACTATTCCACCATGGGCAACCTTTTTTGTTTACTTGTTCCTTCACAGGACAACTGGATTCGTATGCCTCCATGATTGCTCCGTTAAGGATTTGAAGGGTTTCTTCTACTTCACGTGTTTTCCTGCAGCTAACCTTATTTTGTTCGAGGTTGCGTTGCAGTTTGCTTGTGTATTCTTCCCAGTTTGTGTTTCTGGGGTTTCTATACGAGGCAGTTCGTTCCTGCACTCCTTTTACTTCAAATATTATGATTCTATGATCAGAGAGAGAGAGGGTTCATTCGAGACTCTCCAATTCCTGATCATTTGGTCAATATTTGGACTACAAAGTGTTATGTCTAACACCTCCTGTCTGACCCTAGTAACAAATGTTGGTGTATTCCCTACATTAAGTATGTTTAGGTTTGTTTGAAAGATAAATTCTAATAGTTGCTCACCTCTTAAGTTTGTGTCGGTACTTCCCCAGATAGTGTTGTGGGCTTTGGCGTCACAGCCAATTAGGAGCTGTAGTTTGTTCCTATTGCAGTACTCGAATAGTCTCTGTACTTCTTCTGGTGGTGCTTGCCCATCTCCAGCGAAGTAGCCTGATGCCAGTACTAGGTCGCGGTGTGGTAGGTCGGTGACAAGTTTAACCCGAACCGTAACCAAGTCCCGCGACGTGAATTCTGAAAAACATAAATGATTAATATTTTCATTCAGGAGAATGCATGCTCTAGGGTCGTTACACCGACCGTCCCAGATTATTTTTGCCCCTTTACTTGACAGACCTTTGATCTGCCCCTTGTGTATCTAAGGTTCTTGGATTAGTACGGCTCCCAAGTGTGCCGACGTGAACAACCGCGCTATGGCAGCAGATGCTTCCTTAGCGTGATGCGCGTTCACCTGGGCTATTGTGGTGTAATTCGCCATCTTACCTGTTATTGTTGTTTCTGGTGTGGTGGAGAGATGACATCCTAATCGCCCAGAAGCATTTTTTCTTCCTCACTGGGAACTTCCTCTGCCGGAGTGAGAGTTTTCTCCCCCTCCTCAAGGCCTTCGTCCACTTTCCCTTCGTCTTCTTCTGAAGGAGACTCCGGTTTAGATTCCGATGAGGTGGGCTCCTTCGGTTCCTCGTTAGTTTTCTCTTTACCCTTTCTCTTCTTTAGGCCGTGTACGGGGATTTTCCCGAACCCATAGAAGAGGTTGTACCCCATTTTCCTAATGGTTTCGCAGGAACCATCGTCTATGCCGATGTTGAGTAGCTAGCCGTTACCCTCGTCCTTGCAGCCCATTACTTTCCACAGCTGAGTGCTAAGCCCTTCGTTTTGGATGTTCACCAGGCTTAGAATTTTAAGGGGGTCTTGCCCTTTGCTTCTTGGGAAGAAGACTGTGGTGGTGTGCGCCTTTGAGATGTCGTCTCCCAGGCAAACCATCAGCTCTCCTCCCTGCCAGGTTTCCAACCTGGGGACGTGTTCTATCAGCCACTCAACTGTTTCTTTGGTGAGGCAATCAATCACCAGCATGCTTGGTCGGAAATGTATACCTCCAAATTGGAATTTATTCATCATTTCCTCCACAATGGCGTCCTCTAGGGCAGAAAGTTCTTCTGCACTGAGGGTTTCCTTCGGGAATGCCGCGGAGAGTGCTGCCACCTTTATGGTTTTTGCCGACTCGGCGTAGCTGGTGCTTGGCCCAGCGGCTCTGTCAGCATGAGGAGGTTCCGTCTTCTTTCTTTTCACGTTCGCTGGAATCTGTAACATCCCAGTGCATTCTTATAGGGCATTTGGAATACCCAGTGGCCAATGATAAAAAGGCCAAATGGAAAAATTTCTAGAGAATTTAGA